GAATTAATGTAACGGGGCCAAAAGAATGATGAAACGGCAACGGAGGCACGATTAAAGGCAACGGAGGCCAAAGAAGTAATGGAACAGCAACGGAGGCCAAACTAAGGGCTTTTATTACCAGGGAACAGTTAATGGTAACAGAGGCTCGATTTTGGGCTTTTAATACCAGGGAACAGTTAATGGTAACAGAGGCTCGATTTTGGGCTTTTAATACCAGGGAACAGTTAATGGTAACAGAGGCTCGATTTTGGGCTTTTAGCAAACTCAGGATTTTTCACTTAATCACCGGAGTTTAATTAGCCTCACTCGGGGCACCAATTGAAGAATTAGAGAAGAGGTTTCAACTAAAACTTATTTTTATTCGTATTTTCATTTGGTTTTTATACATAAATTTTGAGGGAGATAGAGTGAGAATCTCACCATCACCTCATCACTTAAGATGAGGTGAGGTAAAATTTTGATGATGTTGAACAGATCAATTAAGATTATTTTTTTTTATAAAATAATCAATTGATTAATTTTTGCTTAATTAACAAAATTATTGTTACAAATCCAAGATGGAAATTGATGGAAATATCAATATTAATAACTTGTGAATGGTTGTTGATCAGAATTCAGAATAATCTTGAATTAATGATAGAAATGAAAAAAATTGTTCCACTTTTTTACTTACATTTCATTGCATGAGAATCTCATGATGATATACATTCCGGTAACATATTGGACTATATGCTTACCTTGAAGTGGAAATTTGCTCTGATTAATATCATGTATCATTTCAGGGGGAAATCTATATTATATCAACTGAATCAGATCTTAGGAATGGACAAAATTTACATGAGAAAACCATTTTTCTTTCACCGATTTTACTTCTGAGTAGAAAAGTAGTTTACTGAGAGAGAGAGAGAGAGCAAAGAAATCCCACCGCAAATTCATCCATCTCATGGATTCTTGAAGTAAAAAATTCTGAATTCTGAATGAATTCCATGTTTGCCTCTTTCAATATCCACCTCATGAAATCATCATTTCAGGAACTAGATGTTGAAGATATAAGATTTGAATGAAAATCGGAAACTCTGATAACTTTTCAATTCCTAAAGTAATAATAATGATAAATGTTGGAGTTAACATTCAATTTTGAGTTTAGTTTTGTTGAATTTACTTTTTCCTCTACTAAAACCACTGCAACCTACTCCCTCTCCCTCTCCCACTCCAACTCCCTCTTCCTTTGTTGTTATCATGCAAACAATATTATCATTAGTATACTAAAAGTAATACACAAATCGTAACTTATGATATTAGATGAATATTATTTTCCCCAGATTCCTATTCAATCCTTGATTCAATAACTATAACATGAGATTAACATGATAATTATCATTATGAATGAAGGAATTAGAAAGAGCCAAAGAATTAGTAGAAAAGAAAGTTCTGAATTTCTGAGTTGCCATGTAATTATTATTCAACTTTGAATATGAAATATCTACATAAATAGTTGGATGAGGAAAAAAAGTTCTTACTGATTTTGATCTTGAGCAAGAGAAATAATTTTCTTCCTTTATCAAAGCATTTACACTAATTAGTTGAGTTATATTATTATATATTTTATTAATACTATTCTGATGGGAGGAGAGAAAGTTGATTTTCATGATAAATATGAAACTCGTGAATGTAACTGAATGTTATTTGAATAATGTGTCGTAAGTGTTATTGAGATAAACTTTTTTTTTCATCTTCATCAGAGGATGATGTTGATTAAAGATGTTGTTTTATCCTCTTCCTCTCCTTTCAATGTCATTAATTAAATAGTAGCAAGAGGGAGGGAGTGGGTGTAGGAGGATGAGGAAAAGGAAGAGGGTTAAATTCATAGTATTTATTACTTGGAGTTGATTTTTTCCTCCTCATGTCAAATCAATAACATTTTCATTCTGTAAAATATCATAACGGTAAATTATGAGAATCGCTCTCCCTTATCCTAACCCTCCATCTCCTCATCCTCCTTTCTGGATTTAAATGTTTGCATTGAAGTGGATTATAAATTTTTGATGCAACTTAATGTTATCATGATTAATACTAATCCGGTTTCAGGATTGTCAATGATGACAAAATGGTCTGAAGGATAAGATTATCCAATAGGATTATGTTTACATTTAGATATTGAGAACTTGTATCTTTCTTATCATAATATTTATCTTCATCTGTATTATAATCCTAATTGATTGTCTATTACTGGACATGATTAAAAAATGAACTCATTATATGATAACATTAGTAATCTGGTTAATTTTATTTTCATCTCAATGGATTTGATTCAATTTACCTGAAAATTTTCATGATAATCATGTGAACAGTTTAAATTATTATCATTATGTGATGATGATTCTAGAAGATTGGTTGGTAAAGGAGAGAAAGTTTTTTTTCTCTCTTTTTCTAAATTTCAAAATTAACTCTTTTTTGTATCTTGTCCCATGAGAGATAAACATGAAGATGAAAAAATAGAAAATGTAATATGAGCTGAGTTTGAATTTCGAAAAAAAGAAGAAAAAACAAGAACTTTCGTGTTCTATCTTCATCTTCCATCCTATTCGATAAGTAAACTGCAAGTTCTGATGATTCATGATAACCCATCGACTTTTAGAATTTAAAATCTAACTTGACTTTTGGATAATCTGAAAACTTAGTCGATAAATTTCCCGCCAAATTCAAAGAGAAACTTTAATTTTTCTTCCTCTTGGAATAAAAGTTGATAATAAATTGCAACATTATCTCAAAATTCAGAACTAATTAGAATTCATGAAGCAGAACAAAGTTCCAAAGAAGGTTTAATAGAGAGAAAAAGTGAACGAGAGAGAAAAAAGCTGAAAATCGAATGGAAATTGTTTCGACTTGTTTTCAGTTCGAAACTCTTAACAATTAACTGATCACAATTAAAATTATCATTAACTATGTGGTTAATTAGTCGTTTTAATCATCGATCGTTAAACACTAATGAGCATCGAAATCCGGAAGCTTAAAGTTGACAATTAAAATTTACATTAATCAGTTGAACTGAACTATTGTGAATCATAAATGGAGCTTGAATAACTTGAGTAACTGATTGAATAACAATTGAATAGATTTCAACCTAAATTGTTTCAGGTTAAATTACAATTGAATCAAATCAAATTGCCAGAGCCACACAAGGAAAGAGACAATGAGAGACAAACTAATTGACTTGTTTTCCTATCTTCCTTTGATCGTAAATGCTTAAGAAAATAGCTGATGGGAAATACTATGAATCCACTGGTCTCACTCATGAGATGATTAATTATTGATGGTAGTGGGTGTGTGCCTGAGGTGGATTACCGGTATTCAATTACCATGATCATTATTACAACAAAGGGTTATCTTAAATTACCAGGGAGAAAGATGATAAGATGAGAAGCAGAAATTCTGTAAATGGTAACATGATGATAATTGAAGATTCCGGAAAAGGAAGATTGAAAGTTGAAGGTGATGATGAAGGGAAGATGAGTGTGGTTGAGGTTGGGATCATAAAGACTTGAAGAGAGTGGAAAAAATTTCACCCTGAAAAAAAGTAAGACGAAATCTCCTCTGAGCAAGTTCAATGTAACTAATAATTTCTCATGAGTTATTTTTTCGATAATAACTAATGATAAGACTAAAGATAAACCTTAATTAGTGTTTATGTTAAAAGGAAGCGGAAAAAGCTAAGGTGAGGGAAGAGAAATAGGGAATGAGATAGAGATGAGAAAAAGAATGTGAAGATGAACAACAAAAAAAAGAATAGAAAAAGAAAAGAAAAGAATCCAAGCTTAGAATATTATTTTCTATCATCATGGATGATATTCTGATTTAATTTGCTTTTTTATCTTCCTGAAGAAAGAAAGAGCAAAAAGGAGAAATGATTAGGATGATGATAGAGAGTGGGAAAAGTGAAGGTGGGATGAGTAACAGAAATTCTGAATCAGCATTGTTAACATTGAGAAAATAATAAGCTACTAGAAAATTGGCTTTGATATAACATTGAGAATCCACTTCCCACCCCGAAAAAAAAACCCACTCCTGCTAATACCTCATTTCCTTTTATTCATTACAGTTCATTTTTCACCATCATCATCATCATGTTACTTTAATCTTACCCAATAAGCCAAATCCTGAAAGCTAATTGTAAATCAACACGTTGATTGTAATTGTAATCATTTTGTATTCTCAAGGAGTAAAGTCAATCCTTTATTGTAATGAATCAAGATTCCAAATTTAATCATGATTATGATGTTGTATTAATCAGATTAACTATTGATTACAATCAATTGGTTGTTTTGTATTTCAAGGTGTTGATATTATTTACATAATACAATTATAATGATTAATGATGATAATGTTTACATGACAACAATTTAATTCTGATTGTTTGGTGTATTTGATTACTCAAAGTTTTTCTCATGAAATTCCTGCTGATAATTCAAAGTTATCATTTTACTTTTGTTCTTGAAATTGAAACACAATAAAAAGTATTCATATTCAATGCTAATATCTATTCAGAGGGTATTCACATTTTCCATATCCATAAATAACAATTATATTTATATGTGTTTACCTTTTATCGTATTAACATTACGAGATGAGTATATAATATATTTAATAGTATTGAAGATGAATATATGTCTATTTTGAGAATCGTATTCCCCTCGGAATGAATATATTTATATTCTTGGAAAAGAGTAGAGAAAAATGTTCTAAATACTTAGAAAGATAGAAATCTAATTGAATGTATTCATATGATTCCATGTCCATAGATTTTACTGTGTATTCCAAATTTTGAAATGATCATTTTCTCTCTTTTTTTAGTAACATTCTGCTCAGAAGATGAAGCAATATTGTTCATGATGTTTTCTCCCTGAAAGTTCAATCCATCATCATGTTTAAGAGATACAATTGATGTGTGGATAATATTAACATTTTCTATGTTCATTTTTTTTCTCTTTTCTTTTTGACAGAATTTTCCAAGGTGAATGTTGTAAGATTCAGAGGATATTCCTTCATGATGATGATGATATAACTTGATTAACACAATCATACCAAACGTAATAACATTAAGGTATGTAAAAGGTATTAACTTATTCATTTGCCATTGAACCAATTGCCTGAGTTTTTTTTTGCCAAAGAAAATGGTTCAACATTATTACATTATTATCATCATCAAGAAATACCCATGATGATGAGATATTATCATCATTTTCATTACATATTCAATATGTAAATAACTTAACAGAGACTTAGCTCCCTTATAACAATAATATTATGATTAATTCATCACAAAATTCAGTGGGTTGGGTAGAAAAAGTTTCGACAAAATTATTTCTCCTCGTTCTCAATAAACATGATAACTGTTCATAACATTTTGTTTATCAAATGAATGAATGAACAAGTGAATTCATCTGAGCCTCAAGAGTATTATCGAGATACCAGAAAACGAGGTCAGTCTTTTGGTTCGAGTTGGAACTTTTTTTTCCTGATTTAGCTTCAAGGTTCGAATCAAATCCTCCCACCGGCGGGATTGATAAGCTACTTACCTTTCTCCATCTAGATTCTCATCATAAATCATGTTGATTAACTTAATCTAGATTAATCATGAAGAGTAAATTCAATTTCAATTTTAGACAAAAACCTGCACTTTTTTCCAACTCACTCACTCCCTTTCTCTCCCTCTCTCCCTCTCTCTCTCTCTCTGTTTACCTTTTCCTATTCCACCAAGAAACATGATGTTATTTATATTATATTTGTCAACATTTCGATCCCAGTCTTGGATTCCCGACCTCCTCTTACAAAGTAAACAACAACATGAAATATATGAAAAAAAAAGTTCAACATGAAAGAGAAAAAAAATAATTTTTTGTCATCAGAATTCACCTCAATCGAACCACTTTCCCACCCTGGATAAAATGACATGAAATTTGTTCTTGTTGATCATGATGATACAATATATCAGTTAACAATATTGATTGTAAAACATAATTTAATTGTAATCAAATATATTGTACAAAGTAAATAATAGTTAGTTCAAACATGAGTGACAATAATGGCAATTTGTTAATCAGTTAATCTGATTAGTTAATTGCTGTTGTATCCATAGTAATCATAATTGTTTCAAAAACAAATTCTCATAAATCAAAGTTACATCATTAGTGAATGATTTTTTTATATTCATCTTATCCCTAACCCACCCCACCTCAATCATTTCCCACTCTTATCCTAAGGTCAAACAATATAATGAAATAGTTTTTCATTTATATTACAAGTCTCATGAACAGTTGACTGATCAATATATTCAATTGGTTCAACGCTTTCAAATTGCAATCATCTCCATCCTCATCCTGAGGATGAGAATGATGATCTCCATCATCTTAGTCAATTCTTTGTTATTACTTTCAGAGCATCCAAGTTGAACAAGTTGATCATGATTGAATTGCTTCTGATGAGTGACTGGATTAACTGATAATAACAATTGAATAGTTAGCGATTGAACCGATAAATTAAAACTATTAAAATCAAATGATTAAGCTAACAAGATATCATGTTAATAAGTGGCAACAATGAATTATTTTCAATTGGAATACAAATTCACTATTGATCGATTGATTTGTTGGAAAACAAAATTTCCGTTTTATCTCCATCTACACCTTTGTTGATTCTTGATGATGATAATTTTTGCATAACTGTACTTTCAGGTGAACTTGTAGCATCCATTATTCAACCGAAAAGTGGTTAGAATGAGTTGGTGTTAGTCTTAGTGATCATGATGTTGATACATTGACTGAATGAAAAAGTTACCATGTTTCATGATGAAAAATTCATATATAAATGTGAACAAAAAAATAGGACTCCCATGAATCTCATGAAGTGTTTATCATGACAACTAATGAAATAAAAGCTCATAGATCGTCAAGCCTTAATCAGGTGACAGTTTGAGTTAGATTATCAAAGTTAATTATCAATAATTAATCAATATGATAGAAGGTGAAAGTTTGTTCATGTTAAGCAGAAAGAAAAAAAAATTCCAACTCTAGATTAATGTTAAAGATTCAGTTTCAATGAATGGAGATAAATAGCTGAGTCTCTCTCTCTCTCTCTCTCTCTCTCTCTCTCTCTCTCTCTCTCATTCACTCACTCATCTACCCAACATCAACCACCAAACCAACCATTATCTTCACCTTATCATCACCTCAATCGATATCATCTTCATCCTATTATCTTTGTTGACTCTGTTGTTTTGCCATTAGAAAACCTTTTTTGACAAAATTACAATTAAAGTTAATTTTAAGTCACTGATTAACATTCAGAGTGAATTGAAAGTAAACTGCCCAACAACAATGGACACAAGAGATGATCATTATCATGCAAATTGATTGACACCCAACAATTGACAGTATTAATTTAGTATAAAGAGCTCAGAATCTTTTTTTTAATAAGATAAAGTTATTTTAAGCTGATTGAGTTTCTTTTACTCAATTATATTAATATTTACATGGTAACATTTTTACTAGATGATAATTTTTGATTGATGATGATGATGATTGTGAATAAAGTTGATTGTTGTCTTGGTGATGTCTTGATCATGATATAAGTTGACATGATAACCACAATGAGTTGTATCAACATTAATATCATTTTGTGACATTTTACTTGTCACAATTTTGTCTTTTCTTATAATTGCCCTAAGGGTATTAGTTTGTTTATCTTTACTTGTCGGTGGTATTTTTTTTTAATACTATTACCTGCACTTTGGATATATATTCACATATCATGATGATGATGATAACTCAAGGGAAAAATGATTGAGGGAAAAAAGTTCCAAAAAGAAACTGAAACTTATAATATTTGATGAAGAAAAAAAATAACTATGACAATAAACAATATAATTACTCGAATACTTTTATTACAATTTAGAACTTTTTTCCTCCTCATTTATTGCAACCATCTCGAAGATTGCAAGTAAAAAAAATTCAGCAACTAATCTGTTAATCTTGAACGAATGAACCTCATGAGGATAATCATCATGATCCATGATGATTATTATTATAAATCCAATGTTAACCTCAAACTAATCAAAAACAAATGCAAAGTAAAAGTTCAATCATTTGCTTTTCGATCAATCGACTGAATTAATTATGCATATAGTTCATTCCATGGTGATCTTTTCAATCGAACCTTTTGAATTGTTACAAATTAAATGGGATTTTTTTTGAGGAGTTAGTTCAGTCGTTCATCTGATTTTTCTTCAGGTAGAGCTCACAGTTTTCAGTCCATTTTGAATTTCATTTGAAAGATACTACGTTTTGAGTTAAATCTAAGCAAGACTTAAATCAATTTTGTCCATCAAATGACCTAGAAACCTTTGTCCTAACAGAATGAATGGAATGAACTTGATATTTAAATGTGACAGTTGAGTATCGCTCAAACATCCATAACTCGAGTTTGGAGTCTACGAGTGATTTCAATTAATTGCCGCTCTCTATAGTCCAGTGGTTAGCACTGAAGCCAAACCTTATCGTTGGTCTTGCTGACCTCCGATCTTCAAATTAGACTCCAGACAGAAGCTAGTACTAATGGGTATATCCTGCATTGAGGAGAGAGAAGCTTTTGGCGTGGGACTAGGCCTCTTCGACTACTCCTTTCCTCTTCCTTCCGAGTCAAAAAAGACCCTGAAACGGTAAAACGAGACTGGGTGAGGGTTGCGCCTTAAAAGCGCCCGTGGCATCCTCGAAGTAAGAAATTTCTCTAAAAAAACTTCCACTACCCTTCACCTTTGGTATCTATTCCAACCAACGTATGCACTGATCAGATTTGATTTTTGAATAACTTTAGATATAATATCGGCTTGTTGTCTACATACTCGGAGTTTTTGCAGCTTAGGGTTTTGATTGGTACTAAGGTCATTCTAAGTAACCAGCTCTATCTTTTTTTGTATGAAAATTTGTGATTAACTAATTTTCAACATTTAATCTTGTTAATAATCAACTCTTGTTAATATGAACAATATTCAGTTTTCATGAAAAGAAAAATTTCAAGAATCTTAACTGAATTTTCTTTGTAATCCATAAGCCATGTTGATAATTAAGGATAACAAAATAAGATTTGAGAACTTATAAGATAAAAATTTTCATGATGAACATTATTTTCATGATACCAGGTGAATAAACAGAATCGTGGTTATCTTATCATGGTTTTAATTGAAACTGACAAGGTTCAATGGTTCATTTACTGATTAAATTTACTAGATAATGATTGAGCTGTGGTGTTGAGCCCGAGTATATGTTTGTAAACAACATTATGGTTACATGAGGATCGGAAATGAAAATTTTTGCTGTTCACCAGGTAACAAAATGTTTTGGTTATAATTTCATAATGATGATGATAACTGATGACCTGAATTATGATCATCAGTTTTTGTATAACAACTTACCTGGCAAATCAGGGGATGAGAAGTAAAGTTTGCAAGGTAAATGTTTCACTCTGTCAAATGTAATTGAAATACTTGTCATTTATAATGATAACTGATGAATTCATTTAATTGATTCTGAATCATGTTCATGATGAATTCACTTTACTAATTGTATGACGATAATAATGCTTTCAATCATCTGATGTTGATGAAATTTCTACATGAAAATAGAACCATTTTTCATCATGAAATTTTCATTTCTAATCTGAGTTTTATCATGATGATTTCAAAGACTCTCTTTTCACCCCTTTTGTTATTAATGGTTTATTGAATTCCTTTCAATGAATTGAAATTAAATCAACTGAATAAATGATTATCATGATTGAAGATAATTCTGATTCTGTGTCCTCGCAATTTTGTATCCCTCATGGTGGTGAAGTCCTAATTCATTTGGTATAAATATTTTTCCTCCTGATGGTTTATCTCCATCATCTTGATGATAATACACTTGATATTCATGATATACTCGGCTGGATGATCTTGCAAGATGAAAATCTTAGTCTATCCATAACCCTTGGTTCATGGTGGTTAAATGAACAGAAAACTTCATGGTAAAACTCATGATGATTTATCATTGAGCTGAATATTATTGGTAAAAGTTGAAAGA